GACTGAAGCTTATAGAAGAAAGTAACTTAGAAATTGTAAAACGACTTGTGTCACAGTGGTTGCCACTAGGAACTGATGTAGAATGGGAGGGGTCAGGGATATGACCTTTGGTAAACATGTCACTCTCCAGTTCTGTGAGTAACATAAAATTAAAAACCTTAACTATGTAAGAGTATGGCTATTAACATATTGTAGGAGTTAGAAACCCATATGTATCTATGTGAGTAAGTCTCAAAAATGAATATTAATGAAAAATTACCAGATATAATGCTGGGCACAATGACACACACCTTTGATCCCAGCACTTGGGAGCTAGAGGCAGGTAGAGCTCTTGAGTTTGAGGCCAGCCTGGTCTAAATAGTTTAGGCCAGCCAGCACTACATAGTGAGACCGTCTTTTAAAAAAAAGGTCAGGGACTGAGGCAGGTGGATCTTTGTGAGTTCGAGGCCAGCCTGGTCTACATAGCGAGTTCTAGGACAGCTGGGGCTACAAGGAGACCCTGTCTCAAAAAGACAGAAAAAAAACAAAAAACAACTTTGTTTTAGCCGGGCATGGTAGTGCATACCTTTAATCCCAGCACTTGGGAGGCAGAGGCAGGCAGATCTTTGTGAGTTTAAGGCCAGACTGGTCTACATAGTGAGTTCCAGGACAGCTGGAGCTACAGGGAGACCCTGTCACAAAAAGACAAAAAGAAAGGAGGGGGGATAGGTATCACCCAGATAGTTTCCTTAAGTAGTAGTTATCAGCATACAAAACAATGTTATGCATTACTTATAGAGATACATGATTATAATATAAGTATAAATATGTGAAGTGATAAGTGGCCCTTTCAAGAGTGTTGGCCTTTCCAGAAGAGAGATACACATGCACACACACACTGCATGATATCTGAAAGTCAGTCTGGAAAATGTTAGGAGTTGTCATACCTGAAGTGGTGGGGAAATGGATAATTCATATACTTTCTTTTCACACTTCCGTATTTTTGAATTATAGTACAAGTTTAGTATCCCTTTTCCAAAATTCTTAGGCCAGACGTTTTTACTTTGGAATATATCAAATGAGCTATTTTGGGGTTGGGACCAAATTTGAATACCAACTTCACTTATATTTCCTATATACATTATGCACCCAGGTAATTTTATGTAATTTTAAGAGACTTTTTAAAAATAAAGATGTGTGTGTACCTGTGTGAGTTGATGTGCACCATGTTCATGAGGAACCCATGAAGGCAAGAAGAGGGCCTGGCATGCCCTGGCACTGAAGTTATGGGCAGCTGTGAGCTATCATGTGGGTTCTGGGAGCCAAACCTGAGTCCTCTGCAAGAACAGTAAGCACTTAATTGCTGAGCCATCTTTCTTGCCCCCAGTTCTATATGCTTTTAGTGTTTCTAACTGTTGTCTGAAGACAGGGTCTAGTTCTGTAGCTCAGACTGGCCTTGAACTTAAAATTCTCCTATTGCAGCCTCCTGAGTGCTCATTGGATTTTAGGGATGTGTCCCCACACCTGGCCGATGCCTGTGTTTTGAGCCCATCACCAAGGTTAGCTATGGGATTTGACACAGCACCATCTTTCCTCCCAAATGTAAAAATTTGGAGCATTTCAGGTTTTTGGATTAGGAATATTCAGTCTTTATTTTATCAGGAGACACGTATTTTGATACAGTCCTGCCTATTCCTGCCTTTCTTTTCCTTCTATTCTGTTTTATTTCTGTACTTTCCTGACATGTTACCTTGGCTCAGGAATGGATCTGGAGGTTTGTTATCTTTGAGTACTCTCTAAACCCATGGCCTTTCTGAGCACCAGATGTAGTCTACTGTAGGGTAGCTGGCTAGTGGATAAGACAAACCCTCAATTGCTGTTGAAGCCCCTTTCCCAAAAGGCCTTTCCCAAAAGTTGTTTTCCAATACTTTCTGTTGTTTCTCAAATGCTAAGACCAGAAGAAGCATTCTCTTGAGACCTAAAGCTGATGGGTGAGTTGTGTTGCACCAAACCTGGGAGTGGTCCTAGGCCTCTGGATGGCTTTCTACCTCCTTCCCTCTCAGGGCTTTCACCATTTGTCTTTCCTTGGGTGTGTACTAGCAGTAGTAGCTGAGGAAAAGTACCTGTTTCACAGAGGTTTATAGAAATGACAGACTAGAGATTCCTGTGGTGAAATACCGGGTATGGTTGGGCACACGTCTGGCCTGAATTTTAGCCCATATAGACACCGCCCAAGAGGAAGCCCTGGAAGAGATGCATGCTGTAGTCTCAGAGTAAGCAAGCTACAGACATGGATGAGAGCCCCCTACAAGCATGGTCCAGAGACTGATGGCTTTTATCAGCTCTGTGGGTCAAAAGTCTCCCAGGGTGTGCTTGCATCCCTCCTAAGCTCACTTTGCAAAGCAGCAGAAAGGTGATTTTTCTCATTTTCATTTCCATTCCTTTGCTGCATCTAGAGATACTACCTTAGCCTTAAATGTTTCGGTGTGTTACTAAAGACTAGGACTTTTCATTTTCCTGTGAAAGCTTGCTTGTAAAAAACTCAGGAATTAGTAGTAGGGATGTAATTTCTTTTTAAAGCAACTTGTTCTACAGAAGTTGGGAAGACACACTTATGCTGCTATAAACATACTTTGTGTGTACTGCAGAGGAAAAATATTCCCCCAAGTTTGCTTTCTTCAATTCTGAGCTCCCCACAGAGAATGTATTTTGTGTGTCATGTTTGCCTATGTGGAGTCAGATTAAAAGCTAATTCTCTAACCTTGGCTTTTCAGTCTGATCTGAGCAGTTGGAAGGCACGAGGCTGCACAGAGCTCCACAGTCCTCAGCTGTGAACAGGCTCTGCTTTGTCGATGGCCCCTCACTGTGTCAGGGTCTGGTGACCGGTGCCAACTGTGACTCCAGGAGAGGCTACCCCTTGAGTGCAGATTTGTCTAGAGGCCACTTGGTGTTTATGGAACTGTGGCCAGGGTGAGCCAGGCCTGGCATCGGTCTACTTCTGGAAAGGGGGATGTTCTAGAGGACTTTTGTCAACTGAATAGACATCTAATTATAATGTAGTTTGTATACTTGTGCATGTCTGTGTTGGCAGAGCTCTGAGAGGCCCTTGTGAGGACCTATAGGTACTTCAGTTGGGGGATGTCTACTATGGTAAGGGCATTGATCTCCTCAGCTATATCAGACACCTCACCCTTACCCTCCTGCCCATAGAACCCAGTTAACACTGAGCAGGGTACAAGTTCTTTTCAACACCTAGCCTGGGAGTTTGTCCTTGGAAAGGCTCATTTGTGGTAGCTTTCCTTGACTGTCACATGTGAGAGTTCCTGTCTTAGCTGTGGACAGAGTGTCACTAGTGGTCTAGAGCTAGAAGTCATAATCCATTTGGAATATAAATGCTGCGTTGCCCAGGGTTGGAAGGCTTGTGGGCTTGCCTTGGATCTCATTTGCAGAGGCGATGATCCTGAATGGAGTGTTGAGCCTAGGTCGTGCACAGCCCAGGTTACAGTCTGGCAGGAAATGAGAATCACAGCAGCCACAACAGGGAGTAAGCACCATGGGGGGATGTGTGCTGGGAAGCTCTTGTCACAAGCATTTCAACCTTCCTCAAGGATTTTATCAGAAAAACACAGGAAAAAAAGGGTTTGAACTGTAAGGAGAATAGTTGTCCTAAAGTATGATGCTAACAATATTCCTTCTTTAAAACGCTGTCATGTTGAGAAATTCATTACTACTTGGTTTCCCTCATCTGCATCTGCTCAGGAGGAGCAGAAATCTCACTGCCCAAGCTGCCATAGTTTCTAGAGAGTCTGGATACAGTGTCCTTGTCTTCCCTCCCTCCTTCTTGCCCCTGTCCTCCTCTTGCCGTCCCTTCTACACTGGAGTTCTGCTTGTTCATCCCTTCACTGATCTTCTTCAGAAGGGCTGGACTGTTTCTTCGTCCCCATGGCTCAGGGGACTGGGAACCAATGATGGCACTGATGGGAGTCAAAAGCTTGGTCAGGTGGAACTAAGCTTGGGCAGTCAGCCAGGAAGGGTTGGGCGCCGTTGCCTCTGACCCTTTGGACTTTGGTCTGTAGGCAGTAGGAATAGTGTGCTTCATCCTGTTGGTCTCAGGTATACTGTCTGACAAAGGGCCTAGTGACACTGCCTCTGTCTTTGAAGTCTGTGAATGTGAAAGTACAGATCTAAACTCTGGTAGGCTTCCCAAGACTTGCCTTCCTAGTTCCCAACAGGCAGATGATGGGTTCCATGACTGAAGGTAGTATTGGTACGGAAAGGGCCTTTTCCTGTACCAACTTCTTCATCACTTTCCAGGATTGCAGTGCAAAGGCCCTTGCCTTTGAATCTAAGTAGTTGTGTTTCTGGCACTTGGGAGAAAAAGAGGCAACAAAGAAGAGGGTGGCATGCCAGGGGCCTGCTGTCCATGCACTGTTGAGAGCCTGCAGGTGTGCTGGAGTTGGTTCTCCTGTGTGTGTTTGTTTAATTAAAATCAGTTGATTTTACTTTGAGTAAAAATAAATAAAAAGAATGTAGTTCAAAATGAAAAGTTCTCTTAACTCATGATCATATTCTTGTGCCTACATGGTAGATGGCAATGACCAGGATGGAATCAGCCTTATATAGGTAGGGCATTTTTTTTGCCACAGTTGCTGTGAACTCCGTGTTGCCGCATGCATGGGTAGCATTTGTGTTCATGTGTGGTTTTAGCTCCTGTAGTGGGGATGGGGCACTTTGAATTGGGGACATGGCCATGGCTTTGGAGGATCCTGAGCATTAAGAACTCCAACTACCTGCACTGTGCATGCTGTTTGTATCTCCTCGCACTAAAAGAACTGTTCAGACTGTAGGTAAAAACTGCTCACCTTAAAGAGGTAAGAACATATGAAACTAAAACTTGGGTTGGTTTCTTCTCTGAATTTAGTCTGAAGTAGCAATGAGAAATTGTAAGTTCAATGATAGGGGTTGAAAATGGTCAAATTCCTCAATTCTTTAGAAAGTAATCTACTTGTATGTGTTGACAGGTAGAAAGAAAGCCAGCCAGAATGGATATCTACGACACTCAGACTTTGGGTGTTGTGGTCTTTGGCGGGTTTATGATTGTCTCTGCCATCGGCATCTTCCTGGTGTCTACCTTCTCCATGAAAGAGACATCATATGAAGAAGCCCTTGCCAACCAGCGCAAGGAGATGGCGAAAACTCACCACCAGAAAGTAGAGAAGAAAAAGAAGGAAAAACCCGTGGAGAAGAAAGGAAAGACCAAGAAAAAGGAAGAGAAGCCTAATGGAAAGATACCTGACCATGACCTAGATCCCAACGCGACCATTATCCTCAAGGAACCAGCACACGGACCTGCTATGATTGTGGCCCCAGCCCCAGTCCAGTCCTCTATAGTCCTTACCCCTGTAGCCACAGTACCAGCCATGCCTCAAGAAAAGCTGGCCTCTTCCCCTAAGGACAAAAAGAAGAAGGAGAAGAAAGTGGCAAAGGTAGAACCAGCAGTCAGTTCTGTAGTGAATTCCATCCAGGTTCTTGCTTCAAAGTCTGGCGTCTTGGAAGCCACACCCAAGGAGGTGCCTATGGTGGTTGTGCCCCCAGTGGGCTCCAAGGCCAGCATTCCTGCCACCAGCACTCAGGGCAAGAAGGCAGAGGGTGCCCAGAGCAAGGGCAGCAAGCGGGAAGGAACACCAAACCAGGCCAAGAAGGGGGAGGGGGCCCAGAACCAGGCCAAGAAGGGGGAGGGGGCTCAGAACCAGGGAAAGAAAGTAGAGGGGGCCCAGAACCAGGGCAAGAAAGGGGAGGGGGCCCAGAACCAGGGAAAGAAGGGGGAGGGGGCCCAGAACCAGGGAAAGAAGGGGGAGGGGGCCCAGAACCAGGGAAAGAAAGTAGAAGGGGCCCAAAACCAGGCCAAGAAAGGGGAAGGAGCTCAGAACCAGGGGGAAAAGGGAGAAGCAAACCAAAACCAGGCCAAGAAGGGGGAGGGGGCCCAAAACCAAGCCAAGAAGGGAGAAGGGGCCCAAAACCAGGGCAAAAAGGGGGAGGCAACTCAAAACCAGGGGAAAAAAGTAGAAGGATCCCAGAATCAAGGCAAGAAGGCAGCGGGAACACCAGTCCAAGCCAAAAAAGTAGAAGGGTCTTCCAACCAGGGAAAAAAGGCAGAGGGGGCCCAGAACCAGGCCAAGAAAGGGGAAGGATCTCTCAACCAGAGCACAAAGGTAGAAGGGTCTCAAAACCAGGGTAAAAAAGCAGATGGAACCCCAAACCAGGGCAAGAAAACAGAGGGGACCCAGAACCAGGGTAAAAAGGGAGAAGGGGCCCAAAACCAGGCCAAGAAAGGGGAGGGACCCCAGAACCAGGGCAAAAAAGCAGAAGGGATCCAAAGCCAGGCCAAGAAAGGGGAGGGAACTCCTAACCAAGGCAAGAAGGATGGGGCTTCTAAGCAGGGCAAGAAGGAGGAAGGGGCTCCCAACCAAGGCAGAAAGACAGATGCAGCTGCTAATCAGGGCACAAAGGCAGAGGGTGTCTCAAACCAGGGGAAAAAGGCAGAGGGGTCCCCCAGTCAGGGCAAAAAGGCAGACACAGCTGCCAATCAGAGTAAAAAGTCAGAGTCAGCTCCTGCCCAGGGTAAAAATGTAGGAATGATCCAGAACCAGGAGGCACCAAAGCAAGAGGCTCCTGCAAAGAAGAAGTCTGGTTCAAAAAGAAAGGGCAAGTCTGGTGAGTGACCCTGACTGCTTTGTGAACTTGGGGGAAAGCTGTCTCTATTTGGCTGGTGGGTTCTCTTTAGTGGTGTCCTATTTGACTTTTCCTGGAGAGACATGAACAAATGTCTATTCACCCCAGATAAGGCACTGATGACAGATCAAAGAAACAGTTTCACCTGTTTAGCTTGGCGAACCATTGAGTTTATTGGGCACATGGTGACTTAAATGGAGCTGCATCACTGAAAAACTCACCCTGGCTTGGCTGTGTCCCTGGAGTTCTCTGCCTGATCTGGAGGCAGATCCACCTAAGAGTCCCCTCTCCCCAGCAATTGGATATTGTTTATTTAACCTTGAGGAGTGGCCTATGAGTCCTATGACTTTCTGACCTTTCTGAGTTTTAGGAGCCTCCCTCTGTTTCAGTTTGGAGGACATAGCTACATAAGAGGGTATCATTGTATCAGTTAGCTGCTGCTATAATAAGGCTGTGTAACAAGCATTCCAAATTCATTGCCTTATAACAGCAGTTATATATCTGTGATTGGCTGCAGGTTGGCTGATTTAGGTTCTATGTCTTAAGCTGTGTCTTAACTGGGTTGGCTCAGGGCCATTCTGTATGAGTTCATTTTGGGGTCTTGGTGGAGGTGTCGGTAGCCTTTCAAGGTAGAGGATTGTAGCAGAGGCGTGAGTCATTTCAAGCGGGTACATTCACTTCTGCACCTCATTCTTTAGGACAAGTCATGTGAATGGCCCTGAGTCAAGGGATAGGGCATTTGCTATGTCTCTAGAGAAAGGACTGCAAGGTGAGATTGGAAGGCAGGATGTGAGATGTGAGGATCAGTCTATACAGGGTATTGTCTTGGCAAGTTTTGCTTGAACATCTGTCAGTCTGTCCTGTGTTCTTATCTCATGCTTAGTCTAACTTTATTCATTTACATGAACTTAAGTTAAGTGAATAGCCACAAGATCATGTTTTTAAGGAGTGATTGGTTCCTGCCTCTTCCCTTCTTCCCTAGTCATTTAATGAAGCTTACAGAGCACTGATGTACCTTCTGTATTAGTTAGAAAATAGATTATGTTGATTTGACTTGGTCTTTTTAGTGGGTGGTACTGTATAAATTGGGTCAGGGTTTAAAAAAGTGAATTTGTATGACTCTTGAATAGCAATTTAGCAAACTGCAACAAGCCTTTAAAGGACTAGTGGTTTTTCTTCTCCCAGAGCTTTCCTCTGAGCAAACAGTATAAACTGTGGTTAGTGGACCTGGTGCCCCCCAGGCTACCTGGGAACTCTGCATCTGCTTATCCAGGCAAAGCTTAGCCACTGACTTCAACAGTGATGGATATCGTGATTCTATAGAGACATGTAGAAATGGCACAGTGTGATTCTTAGTCCAGAAAAGTAGTTCAACAGAAGACAAAGACATTAAATAAGTAATGACAGTATAAAAAGAACAACTTAAGGAGGAAAGTACAGCCTTCCCTTATTTCTCAGGGAATTGATTCCAAGACCCCTATGGATTCCAAAGTCTGCAGATGCTCAAGTCCCTTGTATAAAATGGCACAGTATTTGCTTATAACTAATGCCCGATGTCCTTTATATTTCATTTTATTTGAAATTTATTTGCTATTTATCTATGTACCTATCAGTGCTGAGGATCAAACTCAGGGTCCTCGTGTGTTAGGCAGGCAAGCGCTATACCAATGTGCTACAGCCTTAGGCTGCCCCAAATACTTTAAATCATCTCTAGACTACTTATAATACCTAATACAATGTAGATACTGTGTGAATTGTTGTTATGTTATATTGTTTAAGGAACAGGAAAATATCTGCACATGTTCAGTAGAGATGCAGTTTTTGTTTTTAAATGTTTTCAATCCAAGGTTGGTTGGCTCTATGACTGGGGAACCTGTGGATACAGAGTACTGGCTGTTCCACAATGAGAAGTCCAGTTGTTCTTTGATTTTTTTTTTTTTTTTTTAATGCAGTGTGCTGATATTTTATTCTTCAAAAGTTGGAAGCAACCCTGAAGAAGGCATTGGCTCTTGTGGCTGTGACAGCGCCCCCTGGAGTTGGAAACACCTGTGTGGAAGGCCTTTGATATTCTCCTTGGTGCAAGGCCACATGGGACAGGAATCCTAATGAGCTGTTGCAGTAGATGATTTCCTATTAAAACGCATCTTATTTAATGGCCTTTTGAAATTACTTTAGGGGCATAAAATTGGGTCTTGTTATATTGTCTTAAATTTGCCATTCCTCATTCCAAAAAGAATAAAGCAATAATGATAATTCCAAATACTAAAAGAATACAGAAAAAGACCAGTAGGGCAAGGGGGTGGAACTCCTTTTCCACATTTGGCAGACTCTCTGGATATAGGTCAGCATATCAAGCCTTTGCAGTAGACTGTCAGTAGTTCAGTGGTGAATTGCAGAGCAGAACCTACTAACTTTCAACAGGAGCCACAGAGTTTAGCTCTGAGGGTTTGAGGGTGGTTCATACAAGCTCAGGCTGGCTGGTGGCTGTGATTGGTTAGAATTCCAGCTATGGGAAGAGACTGATTTTCAAACTGCATAAGCTCGGGACAGGTGAAGGGATGTATTTATAAACACATGACAGGAATTCTTAGCTAGTACATGTCTGAATGGGAGGGCCTAAAATTCCAGGTACTGCCCAGTTAGCAAGTGTATGTACCTCATTTATTGTGGGTTTTTCAGACAGACTCTCACATAGTACCCCAGGCTGGCTTCAAAATTATGGCCTCCTGCCTCAGCCTCCTAAGTCCTGGGATTATAGGCACGAACTACCATACCTGGAGTTAGCCACCTCTCCCTCCCATAGAACCAGTAATTGGTGAGGCTCCAAGATGAGCCACAGAAAACATTTGTCCTTGAGGGTATGTGAAGGTCTGTGGGAATTCTCATTCCAGTACTCATAACTCCATTCCTGATGAGTGCCCATGGGTAAGATAGCCCCTTCCTCACTTCTCTACAAGGCAAGAGCCCTCTCAGCTTCCTGCAGATTAAAGTTCGGATGTGGAGGACTTTGGGTCCCCAAAGTGACAAAGGTGGAGTACCTCCTAGGTGAAAGGCAAGGAGGGAGGTCCTGTCTGCTGTGACATGAACAGAACCTGGGTATGCTCTTTGTGGAGGTGTCTACTCCACAGCCAGTTTTGGTAGAGAGTGATGGAGATAAAGGATCATGTCTTCTCAGTGTGTCTTTTAGTGCAGTGACCAGACCCTGTGTGGCATTGTCAGACCAAAGCAGGCAAGAACATGTTCGTTAGTTACTGTTTTTATAGTTGCATGGTATACTTTACTTTGCTCTGTGTTAGGGTTATCTGAAAATGACTCAATCAGTCTAGGCCCCGATGGTTGTGGGTTATGAGGACAACTTGGTGTTTGTGTTTATATATAGTGCTTTATCTGCTTCATTGGCCAGACCACCCATTTGGGTTTGCCTAATGGACTCTGCCACAGCCTGCTTATTCCCCTGCATGAATGTATTTTCACTCTTTCTGACTTATGGACTCTAGGAAGATTTCTTATTCCTTGTGGCCACTGTCTTGCTTATAGCATAGGAGGGGGACCCAACCCCAGCTATGCTAAGTGGTGTGGGCAAAAAGGGTAAGGCAGGCTATTCTGCATACTGCCTGCAGTGTTGCAGCTCTGCCAGTGTGATGGTGGTAGTATAGGGCAGAGGCCCAGGGGTGGGCTCAGTGAAGCATGCACCTTTTTCCTCAGTTTGGGCATTTTTAAGTATAAGTTTGTGAATGTAGGAAAAACTTCAAGGACTTAAACAGAGAATTCTGTTCTGGTCCTGCTCTGTGAAGACCAAACCTGGTTGTTAGTGGTGTGCTTTGTATTACTGGCCGTTTTGCTTCACAGAGTCCTTTTCCATGTGGGAACTCAGACCCACCTTGTCTAGCATTCTCTTGAACCTCCTACTTGACTTTCTACCATGCTTCACTGAAGCATGAACTGTGGTGACTGAATTTTTGGGGCATGAGATCTGATGATGTGGATGCTTACCAGAGGCTTATGGAGTCCATCTCCCATTTCTTCTTTATCAGGTCTGGTATGTGGAGTGGAGTATAACAGAATTCGTCTGATTTATATTGAGCATTTGCAACTGTGATGGTGTTGCCAAGTGAGTAGGCGTGAGTGAGAAGTAGACCCGGGTGTCTTCACAAAGTTAGACCTGTGTTCCAGCTCTTTTTGGCCAGGCTGTGGCTTGCCTTTGGCCATATTGCAGCTCATCCAGGAATAAGCCTCTGTCTATCCAGAGCAGCCTGAACCCTGAGGGCCACATGAGCCCAACACAAGGGAACTATGGCAGAACTCTGGATGGGCCCTGGGCACCTGGCAGTGTAGGGCCAGACAGGTGAGGTGGCTTAATGGCAGAGCTGTGGGAATCCAGGAAAATGCTTGGGAGGGTTTTGATCTCCAGTGTGGAGCTGTCTGGGAAGGGATTTCTACATATATATGCAAGAGACCTTGGCTTAGGCAGGGGAGGTGGGCAGCACCTCCACACCATCAGGTTTTAACAGTGGGCAGCAGACAGTGAGGGCTGAGGGATGTGCTGCTGTCCACTGAGAGCCACTGATCATACTGGCCATTTAAATTCATTTAAATAAGTCAAAGGTAGGGCCCAGTTGTTTGTTCACACTAGCTACCCCTCAATGCTCAATAGTCACACATTGCCAATGGCTGCCCTTTTGGACAGTGCAGAGATAAAACATCTCTATCAGATAGAAAGTCCTTTGGACACCATTGCTCTGAACCAAGGAGGTGGCCCTTTAAAGAAAACATGACTTTGCAGCCATGTGTTGGCATGCCACGCAGCCATTCCTCTACTTGCTTCTGGTTGTTTATTATTGTCCCTCATCACAGAGAGACACCAGGAGTGACATCACAGTGTAGAAGCAGTCCTAGAGCTGAGGTCCTCCAGGAACTGAGATTGCTTCCTCAGTCTTACCTGGTCCTTGGTTGGTGCAGGTCCTTGGTTGGTGCTGGCAAGT